TCATTTTATATTTCATGCCATTGCAAATATGAAATGAATATTTCATAAAATTAAAAAAAAAGTCTTGTTTTCAGTACCCTGGCCAGTGACCCGCTTTTGTATTCATAAGTCCCTCCTGCCCATTCACGTCTTTCTTTTTATGTATAAAAATCCATTAAGTGCAAAGACGAACGATTCATTTCATTTTAACATCAGTGTTTTCAGTCGGTTGATGACATTTGTTTATTTTTTTTATTGTTTCTTGTAAGAATATTGAGATTTAAGTTTAAATTCTAAAACAGATTTTTAAATTCCATGTTATTTGTTGATTTTTCGGTGCACTGCTTGGTTTTGAGCTCGAAGTGCCGCTGTTGGCTAGTTTGTATCAAATACACTGCAGACTCGTTTTACCTCCCATCACGTCTTTATTTTAGACAGAGAAAGAGAGAGAAGCGAAATGTATGGTCGATTCACTCATCGTCCTGGATATCTACACAATTTTCTTTCTTTGAATAATTCATAATCCTCGTGGAATTTTTTTTTAATACGTTATTTTATGGAATACAATATATTTTGGTTCTTAGGACTTTGCCTGTGGATCACGTCGGACAAACAATGAGAAGGGAAGTGCTGTTGTTTTTCTCGGCCCATTTCGTCTGCTCGGTGCTCGGTCAGGTCAGCTACTCCGTTCCCGAGGAAATGCCGAAAGGTTCTCTAGTCGGTAATGTTGCTGAAGATTTTGGTTTGGATATTAAAAGGCTAAAAACAGGAAAAGCTCGAATATTTAGTCGAGACGGCGATAAATATGTTGAGCTGCATAATGAAAGAGGCGTCCTTCTCATCAAAAACAGAATAGACAGAGAGACGCTGTGTGGACAAACGACGCCCTGTTCGCTGCATTTCCAGATTATATTAGAAAATCCCATGGAATTTTATAGTGTTACTCTTGAGATTACAGATATTAATGACAATCCTCCTTCGTTTGAAAAAAGCGATGTGAAATTCAAAATAAGAGAATCGGCTGTCCGTGGGGCTAAATTCATTTTAGATCGTGCTTTTGATCTCGATGTGGGCGTAAACGGATTAAAGACCTATACACTTGAACCAAAGGAGCATTTTGTGGTCAAGTTACATGATCAGGCAGACGGTTCCAAGAATGTTGAAATGATTTTGGAGAAACCGCTTGACAGGGAAAAACGGGAACACATTTCTTTGGTTTTGACTGCGCTGGATGGGGGAGAGCCACAGATGACTGGAACAATGCAGATCCTCATCACTGTTTTAGATGCCAATGATAACGCTCCTGTTTTTACACAACCGGCTTATAAGGCTTCAATCAGAGAAAATTCCCCGGTAGGAACAGTTGTAATGGCAGTCACGGCGACAGATGCAGACGAAGGCTCCAATGGTAGAATTACGTATTCAATATCTAGTATAATTGAAAATGCGCGCGGGGTATTTGGAGTAAATGCTGAAAGTGGTGAAATTACACTGAGAAGAGATGTTGACTATGAAAAAGTTAATTCGTTTCAAATGAATATTCGTGCAAGTGATGATGGTGGCCTAGAAGACTCTTGTAAAGTGACGATTGACGTAATAGACGTAAATGACAATCAACCCAGTATCGAAATTATATCCAAATCAAACGTTATATCAGAAGATGCCACTGTCGGTACTGTTGTGACGATGATAAACATAGAAGACTCAGATTCAGGAGACAATGGAAAGGTCCACTGCTATATAAATGAAAATATACCGTTTCTGATGAAATATTCAACTGGAGAATTTTATAGCTTAATAACAGAGAATGAACTAGATAGAGAAATAGCATCCGAGTATAACATCACAGTGACCTGCTCTGATGAAGGAGTACCTTCCCTCTCTAGCAGCGTCACTGTCACTTTGCAGATNTCCACCTCGTTACTCAGACACTTTGGGAACAGGAACTCTGCCACACGTGTACAATTATGAGGTGTGCAGGACGACTGACTCCAGAAAGAGTGACAATAAGTTCGGAATAGCTGGTAGTCAGAACATGTTGATAATGGATTCCAGTTCTACAGGGACAATGCAGCGGATGCAAAGTGAGAAGAGCATCCTGGATGAACCCGACTCTCCTCTTGAGGTTAGCATTCAGTGACCTAAAAATAATCTTTTTAAATATACATGTTCTTAGAAATTTTTCTCCCAGTTTCATTTATCTTTAAAAACAGAATTTTTATCATTTCAAAACCTTTTGCACCAACTATTTCCTTCAGCACCTTGGAGAGCAACATTATCATATTTTCTATTAGCCATACAATGTGATAAAGACTTTATTTTCTTCGTTTTAATTCTTACTTATGCACTTTATATAAACTAGTTTTGCAGTTGATTATTTAGTCGTAGTTCTTCGTTTCTCTATTTTTTTCTTACTTTTTTACTTTGCATAATACATGTCATGCAGTTTTCTTGTTTTGACTCAGTGGGCCGCTGTTGTCTGCTCCGTCGCAGTTACAATATTTAAAACGCAGCACCTCCTCTCCGCTTAGATGTATAAGATTGAAGGGGACGGCGTTGACCGCTTTGTCTTCATTTGGGATTTTTTTAACACTACAACGACGGCAGGATATCTATTTCCCACATCATTCTGAGGATTGTTTATCTGTTTTTTCTTCTTTCGTTGAAGCGGACGATCAGGAGGGTGCACTGTTCTTTTACCGATATTTTCCTTACACAATGAGACGGCAAGTCCTGTTGTTTCTATCCATTCTCCTTCTTAGAGCAGTAATCAGTCAAGTCAGCTATTCCATTCCGGAAGAAATGGCGAAAGGTTCGTTGGTTGGTAACGTAGCTCAGGATTTGGGCTTGGATGTTAAACGACTGAGGTTAGGAAACGGCCGTGTTTATTCTGGTGATAGCAGCGATTACGTTGAGCTGAATGCTGAGAGAGGAGTTCTCCTCGTCAAAGAAAGAATAGACAGAGAGGCGCTATGCGGTGACACAACGCCATGCGCTCTGCATTTTCAGATTGTGCTGGAAAATCCCATGGAATTTTACAGCGTAACTGTTGAAATTACAGATATCAACGACAATGCTCCGACTTTTGAAAAAACTGAAATCAAATTCATGATTAGCGAGACTGCAGCTATTGGAGCAACATTTGACTTAGAGAGAGCCGTGGATTTGGATGTTGGCATTAACACCCTCCAAACATACGTCCTTAAACCCACTGTTTATTTTGTGCTGAAATTACAGAATCAGGCTGACGGTACAAAGAATGTAGAAATGGTATTACAGAAACCTCTAGACAGGGAAAAAAATGAGTTCATTTCATTGGTATTAACAGCTGTTGATGGAGGAGAGCCGCAGATGACTGGAACAATGCAGATTCTCATTACAGTGTTAGACGCGAATGATAATGCGCCTGTTTTTACGCAGCCAGTATACAAGGCGACTGTTAGTGAAAATTCTGCAAAGGGCACCGTTGTGACCGCTGTTAGTGCCTCAGATGCTGATCAGGGTTTGAATAGTAAGATCACATATTCCATAACAAGCACTATGGATGAAGTAAGGCAGATTTTTGAAGTAAACGAAGAAAATGGTGAAGTTACATTAATTGGGCGCTTGGATTATGAAAAGAAAAAGCTTTTTCAGATCAATGTTCGTGCAAGAGATAATGGAGGGCTAACTGATTCATGTAAAGTGATGGTTGATGTTGTAGACATAAATGATAATGAACCAGTCATTAAAATTATGTCAAAATCTACTGTAATATCTGAAAATGCGAATCCCAATACAGTTGTTACGATGATTAATATCCAGGATCCAGATGCAGGTAAAAATGGAAATGTTCAATGTTTTTTACATGAGGACATTCCCTTTGTTCTTAAATTAACCACAAATAATTTCTACAGTTTGGTGACAGAAGGTGAATTAGATAGAGAGCGAGCCTCTGAGTATAACATCACAGTGACCTGCTCTGATGAAGGAGTACCTTCCCTCTCTAGCAGCGTAACTCTCACCTTACAGATCTCTGACGTGAATGATAA